ATAAGGAATCGAAATTTGGCCACGGAAGCCAGTGGTTTCACTTTAAGTTGCGAGGTTTATCAGAGACCAGGACGGTCATCATTCGAGTGATTATATCGAAATCACCTCATACAGAATGAGTACACTTGCCTCGTTTAGCTTCGGTAGGAAGTATGAAGGCAGGATGTTTTTAGACTTCAAAAGTAATACACAGCGCGTTTCCTCCTCAGTGAGGCTCATCAGGCTAGGGTGGTTGATTCATCGAATGAGAATGTTTGGTGGACGCATTCTGCTGCGACAGTGTTTAAAAACGTAACAAAAGTGTATTGCACCTGGCAGTGTGTTCCATCGAATGAGTTTCAAATTGGATGAAGAGCACTGAGAACTGATAGCCAGGACTGGAAGCGCTCTGTTGCAATATTTACCCCGTTCGTATCCAAGTCGTCTAGGCTTGCTACCTACTGAGTCAGAACATTCTTTTCAAATCGAGAACTCGCCTTATAGCTTAGCTTTGTGAGACGTTTTCCCTAGGCTACCGATCAGCTCTTATGTCTGCCGATTCGTGTACAAAGAACTGCCATACAACTGCGTCAGCCTACCTATCTTACACTATCTATGTGATTTTTTAGGAAGAGTAGCACTGGACTGCTCTAAGACAGATTGATCAACTTTCATCGCATGGGTCAAGCCATGTAATTACTTTGAAACTTGGATGTTTCTCCCTTAGCTTTTTTTGCTATCATCCTGCTAGAAGCTGTTGATTCAAATTTTTCTCGACAATTTTATCAGCTTAGCTCGTGGCAACAAAATTTCTAGACTTTTAAGCAGTACAGATTCCGATGCATCACCGAAACTGACTGCAATGCACCATAAAGGAATGCAATCCGACAGACAAGCAATAAAATCCAAAGGTGGTATTATGACACCTGAGTGATCTAAGCTAGACAAAATGAACCATCTCTAAGCGATTCCTTCTAGATAGGAAGTTCTTCGGTATTTGCTTAGGCATTTGAGCTTACATGGGTATTGATTCAACTGATCATAAAGAGCAAAGAAAATAAGCACAGATGTAAAAGTTGTTTCACTGTCTTTTTTTGAAGTGCTGAATAATTTTGATCAGACAACAAGGAAGTGCATGAGTCGCGAAAAAAGGTAACTGGTCGCTGCCAGAGATTGTCGTCAATCCAGTAGGTGACTTTAACATACCTTGAATTCATGGGGTTTTAGTGTAATTTTCAAAGACACCAGTTGGTCACGGACTGGAGGAAAATAGATCCACACAGTATGCTGCACTATTCTTGGAATTGTTATTTGTTACACCGACTATTTAGCTGTATTAATATCCAAGTACCTAGTCCATGCTACAACAGAACATATCTAGGGTGAGATGGCGAAAATACGTGATAACTTGAGTAACAGTTTCGGGCTACTGGTGTAACGGTGATACTACTGATCGGGAGGCACGCGAGTAGTATGCGTTGTTCGTAGAATTTCGCTTTGCGTCGATTGAAAAATGGAATTCTGTTGCGGAATTCGTGGGGCCACCTTGCAACATTTGCTTTTATTTGACCGACGAATGATTGGAGGCAATGAATCTCCAGGAAGACTCGTTCGGGAGAAGATCTGTGTCCAGTTTTTGTAACTAAGATGCAGATTAGAGTTTTGCTCCCTTGTCCAATGGTCTATAACCGGTCCGTTGGCATTTCCGAATAAACAGCTCCGCAGCGAAGGCCTTCTTTTCACTGGTGCTAGGTTTGAAGAGCTAGTGAATTTGAAGCGCGCCCTATTTGTTATATAACCAGTGAGCATCGAGGATATACTGTAGCTGGTCAGGCCCGGTCAGATCTTTATCATGAATACTCGGTTAAATCACAAGCCTAGAGGTCCTCAGATAAAGCTAGTCTCTTTCCGTACACTAACCGGCAGCCAGATCCTCTAAAAAAAAGTCAATAGACTTGTATTTAGGGGCACTTATCTGGTACTTGTCCACCTTGGATACCGTCTCGTGCAATCGATACGTGAGCGTTGATACAAAGATTGTGGTTTCTGGGGTTGTTGTGATGTCTTCACAACTGTGTGGTAGCTAAATCCACACAGCATACAGATGGTATATTCGAGTACGCTTGCAACATCTGCACAAAACCCTTCGGACAAGAAAACAGACTGAATCCTGGACAACGTGTTCCTTCGAAGAGCCAACATTGCTGGGGCAGGATGTGGTCTGACACAAAATTAGCTCCACCAGACAGGTGACTTTAAACAGATGGCTGAAACTGATGAACAACATGTCCTTTTTCACTCAAGCAATGGAGTCCTAAGTAGGACACACTGGAAGTTCTACTGCTACGTAAGCGTGTAAAGCCACAAATTTTGCTTCAGACCTCGGGAATATCCGCTAGTCAAGAAAGCGATCTGGATAACGACCATCCACGCAGAACCTAACTGTCCTGATACATGACACGTCTATATGATTTGTCCAGTAGAAGCCTAATCATCCCAGCTTAGTCTTGACGATTAAACTTAACAGAACCAACAGAGGATGCCTGTATTTCCACCATTATTAAGTCATGGTTGGCTCCAGCACCGTTGTTCCCGCACATTAAGTAGGCCGTTATATGCAGCCAGCCTTATTACCCCAGGCCTCACTTTCGCCAAGGCATACACACCAGCTCCACGCAACTATCCTGGTGCACTCTTCCAATGGTTCAGTTGATAGTGACCGGTCATTCCACTGAGACTTTCAGCCACATTTGAATGGTTTGCGTCCCAATCGGTTTTGTCAATCAACAGTGAAAAAAATGATGAGGGTTTGCGCAGCGTAATGTGGCAACATACTGTTAAGTGGAAGCCGAATTCGCTACCCTACGAAGGTACTTGGAGCCGGCGTAAACCGAGGGAATGAGATCGGTGATCGATCTTGTAGAGACCCGTTGTGAGCCTAAATATGATGGCACGTCACCGGGCGCCAGCACCAGCTACTTGTTTACCATCGAGGTATCTGGTACCCGACCAGTTCCTTTAATTTTCAGCACAATACCACACCCTTTTCAGTACAGAATCACGCAAGCAGTATTCATTAAAACACCGACAAGTTGGTAGCCCATAAATGGTCGGTATCTCGGTAACCAAAAGGTCGCTTGTTGCCGGCCCCAAGGTATGAATATCATTTAAGAGCTGTTTCGAAATGTAGACAATATTTCATCGGTTCCAGCTGGATACAAACAGCAAATGGATCGCTGGGTACGCTGGTGACTCACAAAATCGATCCTGCCAAGCCACTTGCGTCCGCGTGTTGCTCAAATTCACACAGACGATGCTGCATTGAGAAGACTAAGTCACTTCAGAATGGTATGCTCGGAGACATATCGGGTCTCAAACTTCCTCATGCTAGTCATACTAGCCATCTTCCAGACGGTTATCTCAAGTGATAGGTCCTGCTATGATAAAGGGTAGAGGTTACGGTTTTTCATACCTACGAAAGACGTTCCGATAGCAGAATTTAGGGCGTCCCGATTATGTGATGTCCTCATCAGTCCTCGTCCATCCCTGGCCTAACCAATTAAGCTGTATTCAACTCCATCAATGCTTGTTGTTTGAGGTACTTCGGTTGTCGGCTTCCAATCCGAAAGACTTTGTGCTCATGGTTGGGTCGAAATCGATCAAGAAGCTGAAAATTTTATTTCTATGGCATGCAAGATTCGCCGACGTACTGTAGTGCAAACAACAGCCTTATACACTTCAACTCTGGTGTCCACGTGTTCCAGACTACCAAATGCTGCGAGTTTATTACATTTACAAACTTCAAGCCTATGGGTAGTGTGCTACGAAGTTGGGAGAAACGCTGGCATCAGACTTATTCACGACCATCAAGCAGATTACTCAGTATTTGGTAGTTAAATTTTGGTGCATGATAATAAAATCTAAAGGTTTCTGAAATTTTTACGTCCAAGGCAAAGCCGATTGCCACCCAATCGAACGTATAAATCAGCAGCTGTAATTCCGCTTCAGAAACAAAACTGAGGTGCAATCATCTTCAATCAGTTGTATACAGAAGCTGGACTTGCGCGGCATTGTTTTGACCAAGAGACACCTTGAATCAAATCAAACAATCGGTATTGAATGGTTGGAATACCCTGGAAATGATCCAGTGACTCTGTGGTGATCGCCACCGTATAGACGCTAAGTCGGTCAGCAGCAAGAGCATAGACCTGTTTTACTCCGCTATCGAACATGCCCGTGAAGTCGCACGGGCATTTATTCCAGTGCGAAAGGCTATGATAGGGCGAACGAATTTGCTCGGACGGGCAGGCTTTTGTAGGACTATCCACAAGGCTTCTCTGTCGCCTGAGCTGGAGGATTTGATGAAGTTCACAAAAAGTCCACAGAGCGGTGGATCTTGTTCCTAACATTCCACTTCAATTTGTGTTGCGGAAAGAATGTATTCATTCTTAATTTGACCGCCTCGAAATCCAAGCTACTCTCCGGGAACGTTCTCTGGAAAGTGCAAGTGGAAGGACGCAGGATACGAATAATAGGAGGGCTTGCTGTGCATAGGAGGTTGATTTCGCGATAGATGTCAGTCTTTTATCCTTTTCCTCCTTTTCCTTTGTAAAGAGCAAAGGTTGTCGTATAATTGGCTTTTTGCGTAATAACTTCCGTCAGTTTCAAAATATGTTCTTTGGAGTAAGCCTACGGATTTACATACACTTCAAGCCCTCTTGACAGGTGGAAATCTCACTGAATCTGAAGATGTGGCGGTTATGTTGAACAATGAATTCTCTACGTTTTCCACTCGCCCATCGAAGTTTGAATGGGACCAACCTCACCAGACGTTGCAGAGGACGGGGATGAACTAACTTAGTGAACCTCACGCTCTGAAGAAATTACAGTGGCGCTTTCTCAGGAGTAAAACGAGCACATCTTTTGAAACCACTAGTAACACGCCAAACTATTCACACGATCAAAGAATGACATGGAATCATGATTACTGAAAACCAGCATCGCGTTTCCAATGTGTCAAAATGTGTACTCGTCTGCACTTCGACTGGGTAGTCGCCAAAAGTAGGTGTCCTGGCCATGTTTTGCAGATTGAGTTGTTAGATTCGAGGTCCGTGTATCGATCCTAACCCTGGTAATTCCACTTTCCCTGCCTAAGCTTGGGCGTTTGACAGTATCTCAGCCTTCGTGACTTCCTCTGGTAGTATGGCAGCCAGTGGGACGAGATGGCTCGGGTGGTTAGAGCGCGAAGCTACTGACCGGAAGGTCCGTGGTTCGAACCTGACCTCTGCTTCTCGACTTTCCCTGTCTAGGCTTAGGCAACCTGGCAGTATCTTAGCCATCGTGCTTCCTTCGGGTGGCGTGACAGCTTGGCACCGAAAGGGTGTTACAAGTGGGCGGTTATCTTGTTGTCTATCTTCTCCGTTGGTTAGACTCAGTATGGTGAAGGATCGCCCTTACACACGTGTGAAACTGCAAGGAATTGAAAACATCTGGATCCACAACCAGCTGTTCTGTTCAGGCACCGTGAACTGTGTGGCACCGGAGCGCATTCACAAAATGTGGCTAGAAAGCGGAAGACCAATATAGCGGTGCCAGGACAGGCACCAGGTGGGTGCAAATATATTATTACTTCTGACCTTAGGTCGAGGGAAAATCCGGTTCTGGTGGAGACGCCTAGAAAAAGGCCATACACACAGGCTTGGAGAATTTCATTACTTAACCCGTCTTGGTGCTCAATAGAAAGCAGCCAAGACGTCAAGGACTCAGGACGGATGTCCCTACACAGTAAGCCTACCGATCTGTTTAACCTGTGATCAAATCCGTATCCACACAATCGTATTTCGAATACACCAACTCTCTCATGTGATGTCACTATAGACGCGCGAATTTCCCCTCATTCTTAGCAATGGAAGAATGCTCTCGCTCGTTTTTCATCCATAACAAGTCAAATGTTTCATCTTGGACAACACGCAGCGAATGCATTTTCATGGCATTGTATGAGAATGTGCTCATTGTAATGCCATGATGCTTGGGCCGACTGAGGTACCAAAACAGACCACCACGATTTTGTCCGCCGCTTCTTATTTCTTGGAGGTTTCTTTTAGATTTTGAGACTTTCATGCAGTGAAGAATCCAACTGCTCGCAAGCCTTTCTTACTAGCAGGAAATCTCGGGTTTATATGATAAACAACAAAGCGTTGAGATTCGCTGGTCAGCGGACCAGAAGGTCAAGCTAAGTTTTGTGACTGATTATGACAGAGTTAAGGCCAATTTGACCTAGACCGTAGTTCATTCTGCATCCGCCTCATGACCAGCCAAAGAAAACCGTTGCATTGAGTGGGAAGCATCCATGTTACAACTCATGGATCATACAAGAAGTGAGTTGATCTCGCTGTGTGTAATACTTCTTAGCCTGAAAATCACTTGGCAAGTGAAGGAGATGAATTGAAAAGAATCCAATCCTCGGAGACAGATTTATTAGTATCTATACTTCAGCGTAAGGAGTAACTGGTGAAACTTCTTACCAATGTGTTTGATATTCACACTTCATTCGTTTGCAGGACGCTTATGCTCTTTCTTCTAGGGACAGTCCACACCAGTCGCTCTAGCCAAAAGGCATCAAAATAACGGAATTACTTTTGACGCAGGTCGCATTTCCAAAGAGTGTTGATGGACGTGTTTGCCTTCCGAAGGAATAAATGAAGCTGGATAACCCAAACAAACGTAGTTTCCTTGTGGAATGGACGAGCGAAATGCTAGGTATTTTTGATAAGTGTCTAGTGGTTGACGGGACTGCACTTGAGTCTAACGGATACTTTAAATTGTAATCACCATGTGAGCACCAATGTAACGAGTGTTATGAATGGAATCCACTTGAGGGGGAATCTCCTATCAGTCGCATCTCTTTCAAAACAGTCAATCAAAGCAGAATAAACACAATCAGGGAGATTGGTTTCTCAAACCTTTAACGTAATCAAAATGTCTGTAGCTGGATTTCACTGATGATATCTACATGCTATTCAATAAATATGCATTCGGCAATAGCGTTATTTGATCAGTCACCCTTTTGGTGAAAAGTGTTCGCTGCAGTGCCGCTCGAAGAAAGCACAAGGGTTGTGACGCTGCCAGATTACCCAAGCTTAGGCAGGAGCAATCGACCTATGGGGTGGGGTTCGAACCACCGTCCTTTCTCTGACTAAGTTAGCGTCTCAATCAACAGGTCATCTTGAGCTCATTTATATATATATACAATTCCTAAAAAACGGATTAATTTAGGGCGGACTGTTGGTCGTATGTATCCTTTCCCAAAATAAACCCGTGGGACTCGTACTCATGCACGGTCTGAAATGACTTAACCGAGAGATGAGAATAGAGTAGGAACAATGAGTAGAAACGTGATGCATAAATCGGATGACCAGAGGACTACTGAGCCAAGAAAAGTTTTTGAGTTACTTATTGAGCTCGCTTTATCAAACTTGTACGCCAATCATTTCACTCACCCTTATCAGCCGGTTGACTGGAAATAAAAGCGGAAGTTGCACGCTCCACGAAGATCAATAAAGGTTTAAACGTTTTAAACTATTCCCTTTTGAACTCGAGTCATTTGTGCACATATTGCCGGTCACTGTACCCAAACATCCACAAATACAAGAGCCGCTAGACTGGACTGGATCATCTTACTCGTTGTAACCATGTGTTGGGCATACATGGAAGTGCCAACTCGTAAAACCCCCAAGGATTAATACGCTGCTTCAATCATTTAACTATTAGCACCCAGTTCAAACCTTCAAATTGTAGCAGCTCACTGAACTCCGGACCTCTCCACTCCTCGTTCATATGGGACTATCGTTTGTCTGCAGAATAAAATTAACCTGCTATCTTACCACTTTTAGCAGTGAAAACATGAAAAATCTCGTAAAGAATTTTGCGAGTTCGTTGTTCTTCAACGAAGTGAAACCACATTTTCCACCAACCATAACCGAAAACGTGAAAAATGTATCATCCATCAGCTTCTCACACACTTTTACCGGTCTTGAGTTCTCATGAGTGATCTCCAAAAACTTGATCACTCATACGTTATTCATATGGCTACTTTACTCAAGACTCCTCATCTCATCCCGACTTCTCCTGATGCTGAAGACTGGTTTAAAGCTAGACGATTTGACCTTATTTACCAAATTACTGCCTCACATGTATGACAAAATACTCTCCGACATAATTCCGCTTAGACACACTGAAACAGCCGAGGCAAAACCCAGACGTTGTTGTCCTGTAGCTAGACAGATGATCTGATACAGCCCATCTCAATAATAAGGGTTACATTAATAAAACACAGGGATACAATGGAGTTCAAGGTCGGTAATCCACTGGATAGTGTTTTACATCTGCCAGACAGAGGATACATTCTACCGATGACATGACGACAGTCCTGATGATCAAACTACACAGAATGTACGACGCGGCACAGTAAACTTTGCTACCGAAAGCCAGAAACAGACCATTACCGTTGAACAGCACTCTTCTGCAAGTTTTATAGACGCCCAAATTTATTTACTCTTTCACCAGATAGTACGCATCCAAACCACAGTGACACCACTAACCAGAATGATGTCAGTGAAAGCACATTTACGCTCCCTTTGTTTGTGTAATCCAATTGGGACCATGCTTTATTCGGCACACACGCACGTTTTTTAGGGACTTTGAGCACAATTGTTTCTGTTTTGAATGCAGATTAGCAAAATGTTGATCCGGCAGCCGTACATTGTGCATACCGTTGCTTGAATCGACAGGCAACTGTTCTCTCTGGGATAGCCACCATATAAACATTCCTAGTTCATGAAGGGTGGCCAAGCAATATTCAGCCACATTGAGGTTACGCAGGTTGATCAGTGTGATTGTACAGGCATGTCCTGTTAAGCTAGCTTCCCTGAGGGTTTAGCATGCTTAGAAAGAAAATATCTACAAATTATTTTGGCTTTTCGTTTTATATGATGAGAACCAATCAGCGGGACGTCGGGAACACCAGAGCGGTTGGTTTTCCTCCTCCTGAAATTATTATTCCTGCGTTTGAAGGTATATATCTTTCAATTGAAGGTGAAATGGTAACGGCAATTGAGATTCCTTCAGAAGTTTCACGTGATCATCTAGCCAGCTGACTGCATCCCTATTAGTTGACAAAACTGTCTTGATTTTTTCTAGCCAAATGCTGTTAATGGTAGTTAAGTTTCTTCTTGGAAGATATCACCTATCCATACTCTTGTTCTGCTGTCGAAAAAAATGTTACCCTAGGACGATGTTTAAGAAGCCTGTATATTCGCTAACCCGCGTTGACTGCTCACAGACACCAAGTCGTCGTCATCATCATCATTGACAGCATGACATCAGTGTTCAACACCGATGCTTCAATGCCGTACAGTCGTGATTCATTTGAAAGCCTTATTGTAAAGAAAAGAGTAAAGGTGGATGGGGAAGGGACTTAGTGCTAGTTTACCACAATCGTTCCTAAAACATCCGAAGGGCACTCAGTCAGACAATCTAGATAGAAACTGACAACAAGAACGCCACTGACATCGGTTGGCAGCCATATCCTGTAGTGTCTCCAACCAGGCACAGTGAGGATCAGGCGGTCCCCATCCTGGAAGGCGAGTAGCACCGACAGCACCCAAGCGTTTCGTGATCTCCTTCATACTCCTCTGCCAAGTCGTGCCACCATGGGTAAATGATAAGTTTTACGCCTTCAAATGCTTTATTAAATATTCCCAAGATGAACAGTGGATCAAAAAAGGACTGCTTATTCAATGTACATGAAGTCTGAAACGAGATACAGACATTTTGATGGTCATGAATATTTCATCCGGAACGATGCCTAACGGTTATCCCATGACAACTCCATCTATCTGACGGTAAAATTTCCTATTCGTTAAAAGTGCTCACTAAGAGTCACAAAGACAATGCGCCGAGAGTTTTGTCTATGTTGTTTGATTGAATGGTTTCAAAGTATCACAAATACTGGTCGCATCTGACTGCCAACTAATCTTACACCGATCAAAAGGGACCCAAACGACGCTGCATTTGACGCGTACACATTTGACTGCAGAAATCCTTGAAAAACGTTGCTGAGTGCATTTCAATGTTGTCCTTGACCCTGCTCATGTGTTACTCAATCACCGCACTAGGTTTTACCGTCTGGTTTTCAAACAGTTCCCAATTGTTCATGTCTTCGTCTCTCGTGGTGAAATTCTAGAAAATATCCTTTCACCCGGGTGCTTCCAAAGTCTGAAAAAGTGCCCTTACCAAGTCCGACCTCAGTGGGGAATCACCAACAGTATGCAGTTTACGAACTCACGACCCTTCGTTTAGTTTCTGGACACTATGTGGTTGATAAGCAGTGCTATTAACTCTTATATATGCAGTATATAGTGGAACGCATTTCGAAAGTTTTTTACTATAATTATCCTGCTCAAAATAGTATCCCGCAGGGCATCAAGAACCATCCGTCTGATAGGTCATTGCCTGAACTGCGTCACTGAAGGATGACTGGAGTTGCTATTCAATCGCTGTTTGTTACATATTTCCGGGCCATCAACCCGGAAGTTGAGGGAGATCGGTAATTTAATGCTCCGAACACATTCATGAGTCCAGTAGACTGAAGGAACGAGCGCTGGATGGTAACAAACGGATTATCTTATCCTGGTTGAAAGCATTAGGATGGAAAGTTTCATGCCAGGGCATTTTGGGACAAGAAAAGTGAAGTGAAACGGAAAAACCCTCAAAGTTTTGGAGTTTCAGTGAGTTGTCTAAAAAGGTGTACGATGAAGCTGGTTAAAGTGAAGCGTTCTCAGACACAGATTGAAGAATAAGGTGAAAGAATGGGATCGATTGGAACAGATAACCGAGAGGGGTTGCTGAAAAGGACATCACATGAAAAATCTGTTTTCAGCTATAATGTGCACTTATCAATCAAGGTTGCTTAACCCTGCTTGACCAATCGTCAGGGGGGCTTTAAAACTCACATGTAAATGCGGATTTATAACCCAGTCTTTTTTATTGATTAAACTTCCATTCTGAAACCAAGCATTTTGCTTTCCTCGAAAAAAACACGGTTTAGATGTAATGGTGGGTTATAAATAGGTGCCAACACACGTTTCAAACTATACCATCTTTCTCCGATAGCGCAATTCATGCACAGTTCTCTTGTTTTTGGACAACCTGCGGAAATTCCACTTTGACTCGGGGAGCACTTGAGACACACTTCAATTCCCCAAAAGGGAAAATGCTCTCGCAGGCAATCCAATGACGTTCCTCTTATCAGTCAAAAATCAACCACAAGAATTTTGTTACCATCATTTGGGCGCGTTAAAAATCTTGGTAGACGGTCACGAGGTAGCATCAGTTACTCATGAGTTATAAAGAGGTCGACTGGAGTTCATTGAAGACAAATTTGGAGGTTGTATATCTTTGTAATGTACTACTCATAAGTTTGCTGAAAATCCGTCGAAGTGTGAAGAATAGACTAGAAAACTAGCGAACCTAAAACAGTTACTTTGTTGATCCAAGAAATGGAAGCAGATAAAAACATTTCGTTCTCATTGCATTACTTTATTGCTTACTCGCGGAGGCCGAAGGACGTTGATTCGCACACCATAGAAAAAGTCAAATACAGAGGAGGAAGGCCGCGCTGATACACTGACCTAAAAAAACACCATCTATATAAAGGATTGCTTATCGCGACTGCCGGAAACGATTGCTGGAACTTAGTGTTTTGATTCTCAGATTTTCCGTGAATCTGAATCAGTCACGATCCAATGCGAACTTAATAACTTAGTTATAAGGAAGCAACGGTTTATCTTACAGCGTAAAAACAGTTTGATCTATATTTGGCAGCTAAACTGACAATTTCTCTTATCATTTCTAAAGGGGACGTTTGACGCTACTGGTCAGTGGTACTGTACCTTCATTAGGCAAGTTCATCCAACCTAGAATATTCAACATATCGTGAGAAGCTGAGGGGCAATACATGACCACTGTCCGTGGCCACGTCCGCCATTATCAATTCGGACATCAAGATTCTTCAAAACCATTTAAACAACCGTTCTTCAAGATTAAATTTGAAGATTGCTGTTCCACCACTACTGTTAGTATTTCAGTAATTAGTCAGGACCCAAGATGTGGTCACTGCAATAACCATCGAAACTGATGTTAACTGTCTGACTGAAGAAACAGGAACGATCGTTTCTGTTTAGATGAACGATCAGGGCGCTGCTGATGAGCTATCAGTAACCGGATCGTGACCTGCCGGAACCTGTGGATTTGTATTTTGCCCGTGTTCGAAGTTGGAATAAAGAAGTTTCGGCTGAGCGGCGCTGGAATTTTAAAATCTCAATATATGAAAATCACTAATATTTGCACCGTATGCCTAGTGGCGTTTTGATTAGATGACCAGTACTAGACACCCTTTTTCTACCGTAATCAACCGTATGTGCAAGGGTCTGCTTCATAGTGTTCATTCTGTAAAATGTCCCAACGTGTCATTATCATTTTCTCGAAAGTTACTCAGGACATTCTGTACAATAAATTTGATCTACGTGTTTCAAGCTGGAACTTTGTCCCACAGTCAGCATCTGCATGTGTGATAGGAGTGAGTTTTTAAAATCCACGTTTAACCATGATCTTGCCCTGGAAAAAACGTCGTTGGCGCATATCATCGAACCGCATGCACAAACCAACTGTTGTGTCTGAAAATCGTAATACCCCATGCCGGCGGCAAAGTGCATCCAAGAAATACTGTTATCCATATTGTTACTTTTTTAGGCAATTTCTACTAGCATTTTGCGTCCTTTTCAATTGATTGATTTTTTGCACAGATTTATCATCTTCTAAACTGTTTTTCTGCAGTGGCCGGGTGGATTGATCTGTTCCGCAAGGTGGTCCCATCATTGATAGCTGACAGAAACTGGCTCCAGGAATTCGTTCCCTTTCTGACTGATGTATTTAGGAGCTGAAACAGCATACTTTTCCTATTTGATTGTAACAGATCTCACATCGAACATAAAAAAGCGAAAAGTCTGCAAGGTTTCGGTGCTATGTTGTTCTCTGAGCACTAGTGTGCTAATATTAAAGGAAAATATTATCAGAGGGAGGTGTTGAACTTTGACTAATGTGACTAATCACAGTTCGACTGTTGCCATAAAATGTTTTGGATTTATATCAATATCAGTTCTTATCTCATAGCACACCAAGTCTGCACTGACCAAAATGGTAACGAATGGTAGAAACTGTGCTGTCAAATTTCCCCAGTCATGGTTAAACCTTTGAAACTTTAGTATTGACATTTATTTTTTTAAGAACATGGCCACAAACTCAAAAAGTGAATGCAAGCGATGAATGCGGAAGGGTAAAAGGAGAATGTGAGATAAAAGAGAGAGACGTCTCAGTCGAATTCATGCCACTAACAGTTCCAGTCAGATGAAATGAATCCCAACGTATGTAAAAATTTTGATATGGGAACACGCGTCTAAAGACCAACAACCGAAGAAAGGACAAACAATGTTGGATGCTTTTCGAGGCGTGGCAAGTGCTGTTAATTACGTGACATAATTATTTGTTTCCTATTCCTCAGGCTAATTCATCACCCTTTCGGTGACTACTCAAGTTTCAAGACTGAACCGTTCTATTTCATACAGAGTTGACTCTACCTCAACCGTTTTTCTATAGACGATTTGTTTATATTTATTTCTGGGCTTGTTGTCAAAAATTTGTCCCACCTTGAACTGAACACCATTTTTCCCGTTTAATTTGTCCGATAGCATGCTGCCCTTCGTATGCCATCCTGTGTTGCTAACTGCCCAAGGTTCAATCTAGTCGTAAGCCTTTCTTCAATTCTCCTCACGATTTACTGTTAATCCCCTATAGAACCACGGTCTACCTATCTATACAGTCAATGTATTGTTCACTGCCCACTTGCGACTACGGAAAAACGCAGGTTAAGTTCGTAGAATTCGGTTTCGCCGCAGTTATTACCAACTGTCCGTCCGGCAATTACACTACACAGTACTTGTCAGATAGGACACCTAGATCGTGCGTTTAGACTAACTAACCAATTCCTTGCTTTGAGATCACCGCCTTAGCACAGAATCGTACAAGCGCTATCACAATCAGGACTCGCACATCGGGCGCAAAGTGTCCGTCATACTGGGTCTGGTGTGAGCTTAAACGGCAAAAATGTACACTAAATGCCATGTGCCAAGCATAAGTGTTGTAAGTAAGCAGATAGCCCACACTGGCAAGTAAACACTCAAAGACCTCTGATACTGGCGAGCTCTACTTATTTTGTTATTCGTTTTAATGGCAATTATACTTTCTTACGCTTCCAGACTGAAATAGAATCAGTCTTATTTGTAATGTACTACTCATAAGGTTGCTGAAAATCCATCGACAGCCCACGACCGGTTTCGCCCTTCTTGGGGCTCATCAGGTAGGCGCAGTCCCCGAGTTTCCGTCAACCTTATGTTCTACTTGAAACCAAATTGCACGAAGTTGGCGAATATACACTCATCTGCACACTAATTTGGTTCTTTCGAGAGACTCACCTGGAACCCAGCTTAATCTCTTGTTTATGATGTTCTCAGGCAACATGAGGCGGCCTGGTGCAGCACATTCGGTTGCCTGAGAACATCATAAAAGAGAGATTCAGCTGGGTTCCAGTTGAGTCTCTCTAAAGAACAAAATTGGTTTGCAGATGAGTGTATATTCGCTAAAATCAGTCTTATTGCACGTATCAGTCACTTAATGATAGGTGGATGACTAGTGATTGTGTGCTTCAACGGTACGTGCCCGTGATTGCAGGGAGTAGACATGGGCACCTGACATGTCATAGACCACACAGTACCAGGTTGAGCCGTTGAACATACGTTTTACGGCGAAAAAACCATCTTTGTCCAAACAGAAGCTACGTGTCTGGGCTTATCAGCATCAATGCAGTTTTGTGGACAGTAGGCCAGTTGAACAGCTATTGGAGTGTGTTAAACCTGCGGCGTTTGACGTATTTATTTGTGTTGGCAAAGCTATACTAAACAGCCTGAGATCCTGGGGCACAGAAATGCAAAATTTACTGTCAAACTGACCTCTTGTGATAACCATCGCAATTGCCGGTGGTAAGTGGTCTTTCAGGATGCTTGCCATCTCGTCAGTGTAATGAACGTATCCTCCCAGATGTTTTTGAACGGAACAAAGATCTCCATCGCACAATTAATATTGATCACTTTTATGATAAGGACAAAAAGCATCCCTAGTGTAAGAGGCGTTTATAGGAAATCAATTCATCTGAGTAAAGAATGGTAAATATGAGGTTATCCTACCATGTTATTAGCACAGTTCATTAGCTGGGGTAGTTATTCCTTGATAATATAAAAGATAAAGCTAAGATAATCGTTCGGCCGTGACACTTTTTCGTTGCCTAGCTGCCATGCCACCCGGAGGAAGCAAGAGAGCTAGGATACTACCAGGTTGCCCAAGCCTAGTCAAGGGAAGTCGAGAGGCGGATGTCGAGATCGAACCACGGACATTCCGGTTAGAAATTCGCGCGCTGACCACTGAGCCGTCTTGTCCCCTGTGGTAACATGCGTAATATCGAATCAAGAAACACAGTGTAGGATAGTTCCATGCAAGCAAGGTTAGTCCCAATGGCAAATAAGCCGTACTTTTACTTGGTGAGACTAGAAGGAAAGGAGCTGAATGTAAATGAAGGAGATTGTTATTCAATCTTTCCAACACTGCTTCTGGTGACATAATTGGAATGTGATGCTGTAACGCAATTGAAATTTGACTGCACCTCCTTACATGTGCTCATCATATGACCCAATGTGTGTATATCCCTCCTTCTCCTTATTGCAGTTACCTCCGACGAGCCAGCAAGAGCTTCAGACAAGAAGCAGTAGCCCTCGTTTTCGAAAAAAATTTTGGTGACAATCGGTAGATTTATTGCTGAGCAACGTTTCGCTTTTGACACAAAAGCTTCGTCAGGCCAAGTGACTAGGTTCCGAGGTTGGTCGAGATTTAAGGCGGAAGGAGAACCAATCAGCTATGTCAAGCTAAATTTCTGTTGGATTTCCGCCAAGGGATTTTTAGTGTGTTAGAGTGGTTGAACAAGTGTTGAGTCGGTGGGGTGTACAAAATTAACTCCACCGATTGCGCTAAGGTTTATATAGGACAGACTGCCAGGGAATTGCACACCAGAATTGGTGAGCATAAAAGAAGGATTAACAAACCACCAAGGAATGCAGAAGAATACCAAACGCTGGTCAAAGATCCAGCGATGGCGGTACATGCCTTAAACACGGGACATAGAATAGATCTGGAGAATGTGGAAGTTTTAAGACGGGGACTGCGATTCACACCACAGCGGCTGATAGCCGAGGCGGTGGAAATTACTAAGCATCACAGCGTGAATAGAATCGAAGGTGTGGAGCTAGCGAGCGTATGGAAAGCGGTCTTAGATAAGCCGAGTTGACACGTGACGGTGTGGTTGTCAATCCACTTAGGATCATTAGAAAAAAACGGGGGATGGGGGTGGAAACCCCAACCGACCAAAGGTCACAGCATCCCTCTTACACAACTTTCTTCGTACTAGCTCACCCACACAGACTGACCGAAGGTTCAAACGAAGTTCAATAGGGACCATCAAATGAACCAAACCAGAAGAACTAGACCCTGGGCTGGACCCAAACACTCGTAGGTTTCCCCACTGACCCAACACTCGTTCAACCACTCTAACACACTAAAAATCCCTCGGCGGAAATCCAACAGAAATTTAGCTTGACTTAGCTGATTGGTTCTCCTTCCGCCTTAAATCTCGATCAACCTAGTCACTTGGCCTGACGAAGCTTTTGTGTCAAAAGCGAAACGTTGCTCAGCAATAAATCTACCGATTGTCACCAAACTTCTTCGAAAACGTTGACTACCCAATCGGTTTCAAGTATTTTCCAAGCAGTAGCCCTCTTTTACATCCCTTCAGGTGACCTTGAGCTATTGCTATCACTGTGCTTGACTTGTGCCTGTAGTTTTAGTTTCAATACACGCACGTTGTTGTCTAGGTCCGGTCTTCTCTCGTGCGTCATACAACCTGTGGGAATACGTGCTCCGTGTGCCTTGTGGTTCCATCCAATTTTGTAGAATTGCTGATTTGGTTTAAAAACACCATTGAGTAGGATCTCAAGGTGCACTTGAGGGATGATATACCTCTTATCGTCTGAATGCGTTATGGCTGGTTGAGTGAACCTCTACCAGCGCTGATGTTGATTCGAATGACCAAATGCTGAATGGTTCTTCAGACAGCTTATTGTATAATCGGACTAAACTGGGATCATTACCACGCTGCCCTTGTAGCTCCGAAAGAAGAACAGATCACACAAACGAACCTCCCTTTTGAGAAGTCGTCACACAAGTGGTCTCTTAATACGTGACTATGTGATGCGGATTCCGTGACCGAGGACTGATTGGTACTGTATCCCGACAGAGTGAGGGTTAATCACTGCAGATCAACCGCCTGCAGTCGAATGGCATAGTCCTCAGCTACTAGCCCCGAACCGACAAAATCAAGCCACTCTGGAGATTTGTGGTATGTGCACTACTGATGATTACAGCACAGTGCTCTTCAGTATGGGATGACTCCGTTAAAAAACGAATCTCGGGTTTGAGATAAAGTTAGTCGTTTCCACTACTTATAGGAGTACGTAGTATGTTACCGCAAGTTCCGAAAAGAATCGTGGAACAACTCGTCACATGTTGGGATCTCCTCATGACATCAAACGTCATTTAATGTTATCCACGTCGCTAGTTGGGAGTGGTAAAAGTTTCTATTAAGTTGGAGCGTAGGCTAACCTGTGATTAAGATGTCCCATTTAGTCGTGGAACACTGGTCACATGTTGGGATCTCCTCATGACATCAAACGTCATTTAATGTTATCCACGTCGCTAGTTGGGAGTGGTAAAAGTTTCTATTAAGTTGGAGCGTGGGCTAACCTGTGATTAAGATGTCCCATTTAGACGACTTCGTTTCTGAGCATTGTTCCACAAAAAAAGAGAAACCAATTGTGCTCATAACGGTTTGGAATTACCCACGAAATGTTTGAAATCATTAAATCAAAATCTGAATGCAGCTTTCGTCTACCTGATAGTTCATTCTGCGAATAGACAGCTCCTCAGAAGCAAATGAGCTCAGTCCGTTAGAAGATTCCGAAGGCACCACTTTCCAGTTGGGACCATTTGATTAGGTTGGCAACCATCGCCATAATTTTACTTAACTATCAAAAGATGCCTTCTTTATAGCGCGGATAGTTGCATCCGGTTGCTTGATTCAGTTGCTTTACGTACATCCCTGTGGATAATATGATACTATGTCAATTTACCTAGAAAACTGCTTGATGCCAGAAAAATCCAAGTTCGGCTGGAGCATTTTAAAGCTTTTCATCATTCGAGATGTTCATGTCTACTGGATCCTGGAGGCAACCGAGTGAAGTGGCTTTCGTACAGAAGTGGTCACAATAAACGTTAGCCTCCAAGTGCCCTAAGCAACACTTTCACTACACCCTCGATCAATTCACAACAACTTTACAGCCAGTGGCTTTTGTGGATACCATCACATTTCATCAGGTTCGATTAGCTAAACGACTGAGAATCTTTTTTAAAAATCTTTTTACCCGTGGCATCATTACCTGATCTGTTGAACTGCTACGATACGCCCGAAGAATATGCGCTCCAGTCAGAGATTGGGACATTAAATATAGTCGGATCACGTAAAAGTGTAACCCACTTTTCACTGAAGGCTAAGCATGTGAAACCACCTTCAAGCCAGAACCAATTCCGAATTAATTGACCATTCATATAAAGTCAGACTACGAGAAGAGTTACCTGAAGATGCAAAATTTAATGAACGAAACAGTCAAATAAAAATAACAATGCACAGAGGAAAATGTGTAAGACATTCTACGCAAAACAATGTTTACAGTTTGGAGACACCTTTGTGCTTCATTCCAGAGCAGACCTCTCCTCCCCTAATGTCTGAAACTTGTAGGTGTGTAGGTGTGTGGAGATCTATTTACCTTTATTCTCAAAACAAATATTCGCCCAACTGGAAAACACCTCTGGCACGGCCAAACTCAGGTGTTAGTTTCAATTTTGCATTGAGGATCAAGCACTTTGTCAAACTCTAAATCAAATTACTGATTGAGCTATTGCCTGTCCACGACTTTTACTTTCTTTGTATGGACTGACTTGGAGCAACCCGTCACAGACTGTGCGGTGGACAGTGCGAGGTTTAGACTTACTGACCGGGAGGTCCAAGCTTTGAACCCCACCTCGGCTGTTTCTCGTAACTCCTTTGGGCGACATGAAGCAGTGCACCAAAAAAGGTGTGGGATAGAATTAGTAATAATCATTTGGGGAGCGCAAACAACGTTCTGCATGCGTCCTCCTCTCCCCTCCCCCGAAAAAAAATGAACCGACGGATGTGTGGTAGTTCTTATGCGGTTTCACTCTGTAGGTTTTTACTCCAAAATATTGCTATCTATTCTGCGATAACAACCAGTTCAAAAGAAATAAGGGGATATGATAGAAGCAAACACGTTTTGTCTTTAAATGGATTTGCTGGAGTGAAGTAATCGTACCACGACCACCCTGTGCCGGGGCTTCTTTCAACAATGCACATTGTGTCACTTTCCTTTCACTGAAATATGTTTATCTGCAGACGATTTTGTGATACTAGTCAAAAATCGTCCAACGTGTGGGTGGGGACAACTCGGTAAGCTCTCTTTCAGCTGGTACATTTGTGTTTCTTTGTTGTGTAGGTCGATTAAAATAAAAACTATCCGTGAGATCGGCTGCAACCTTATGCGAACGGCACTCTAGCTACTCGCGTTCTAGACTTTGAACAAGTCGATCCCATTCCTCAAACATAAATCAGTCTGACCAATCAAAGGTGCTTCAGTTGAGTCCAGCGTAGGTTGGTGGAGTGGTGGCGACAGATTCGTCTCGGGTGGCGGATTTTCGAAGTGGAAATCTCGTCATCAACAGGGTACGCACCGATGATAAGCTCTAATAGGCGAAAATCTCGTGTCCATCGCTTTCACCCACGATCACGGGGGTGGGAGGCTGACAGGCGTGAATTTATATTCCACCCCACCCCAAACGAATCTCGACAACAGCGTTTGAGAAGTGCCATCGAATAAGATGTGCATTTCATAATTGGGAATTAAATTGGTCAGGTTTTTTGTTTCTCAAGTTTAATGCAGTAACAAATCCCCTGTCGATAAAGATGATATGGGCTCTAAGAGCGTTGAAAAGTGTGATTTAACGGAGTATTTTTCAATGAACTGTTTACATTTGTGTCTAAATCCAGATCGAATCTTTGAGAACCGCCAAACAATTTGGCGAATTTTTTAATAAACCCTCTGGAGAGCCTAGCAAATACACATCGGCGTTCCCAATCCCGTGTAACTGTGAAACACGTTGGGCACAACATACCAAAGTGTATTTTAATTCCGTTTTGTGTAGTGTGATATTAGGCGGTTGGCAAGACTAATCGGGCATTTCGCAGTGTGTACCTGTGCTGTCTTACCCAGA